GTGAAGCATGGTGGAGACAGCAGATGTGCAGCACAGCTGGAGGGATGTGGAACATCTTTGATTTGGCAGGAGACTGGGAAAAACTGAAAACAGCACACACATCCTCTGGAGATGTGGCTCGTAGGGAGCTCTTTGTGAGTAGGGACACACTGCCCTGGGACTCAGGATTGTCTGGGCTCTGTTACCTGTCCCTGCGGCTATGGAGGGACAGCAAGGAAGTTCGGGTGCTGGTACAGGCTGAGGCTGCACATCCCATGGCTGTGAATTTGGGCTCTTGCAGCAGCTCAGGGTGGGCTGCAGAGTCCTGTCATCGTGGGATGGGTTGTCCTGTCCTGTCCTTTCTGTCTGTGGCTGCCAGAGAGAGCCAGCAGCACAGAATTGTCCTGGGCTGCCCCATCCCAGCCTTTTTCCTGGCTGCTGTGGCCTCCAGCACCCAGGCTGTCCCAAGGCAATAAAAGCAGGAGGAGAATTTTACTCATGGAACAGGCTCAGCCATTGTCTTGTCGTGCTGGGAAATCAGGCACTTCAAAAGGCAGTTTTGCATTTCTTCAGATGCCTCAATGTAAGTGCAGTGACAGAGTTGCTCAAAGCACATTAATTATTAGTAAAGGCTTTTTTTCTTTTTATTGCAAGACAAATTAAACAACAGACGAAAACAGGAGGTGTTACACGAGATGTTAATCCACGGGAGAGTGACAGCAGCAAAAGCCACAAATAATTCATAACATGAAAATCAGGACATTTAATTTTTGACTTGTTGTTTGCATTTGGCATTTGTACACGTGCTCGGTTGCCGCCTCTCTTGTGCTCCAGTGTGGAGATTTTGGAGGCTGTTAATTTTGGAAAAAGTGATTACAGGCCTTCAAGAGTAAATCAGATAAGAGACCACAAGTCTTTTTTTCTCTTCTTGACTGGAAAAAGACAAGTTGCTGAACCCTGTGTTTCCTATGACACTTCCTGTCCTCGATTGGGTAATAGAAACAATGAGTGTGTACAGGAATTCCAGGGCACTTCCACCACTCTCCTGTGTGACAGGACACATTCAGCATGTGACCCCACCTGGAGGGATTCAGCAGGTGCAGAGCATTTCCTTAGAAAGTAATTTGGCTTTGCATGTCTCTGATGTCAGTTGTGGGTTGCTGTCCTGTAAAATTTAGTGCAGCTTAGTTAGCACCTTTCTGGACTTTGCCAAAACCTGGCGTCAGTCTGATCAAACTGATTTTTCATTGAGCTGTTACAGTCACTGAAACTGCTGAGAAGAATGGCAAGCATATGGCACAAGGTATTGAAACGAGGTCTCCTGTGACACACTGAGCCGTTCCTGGAGCTGCTGGCATGTGCAGAGACCATGGATCTGGGGCAGGGAGGGGACTTGGCACTGCAGTGTGCCACATGAAGCCAGAATAAACCCCACCGAAGGAAACAGAGCAGTTGTCATTTGTGGAGGCCCCATCATGTCCCCACCTGGGGAGGAGGACAGCAGGAGTTTCAGGTGTTTATGCCTCAGCATGGCAGTTTGTTCAAGGTTATGAAACCCGTGTTAATTCTTCAGTTCTCAGCAAGAAAAGTCTCTGAGAGCGTTCAGGGCCATGTCCCACCCTGCTCAGCACCTGTGGCTGCCCTCGAGTGTCCCTGAGAGCCGAGGACACGCTGCTGGCTGAGCCCCTCCCTCCCCTGCTGCATCCTGACAGGTGGGCTGACATCAGTCCTGGGCTAGTGAGGCATGTGGGCAGGGAGACAGTCACAGTGGTATTAAGTGATTAGAAATACATAAATATTAATTGCTTATGAACTCCCTTTATCACACTTGCAGGCAGAAGAAGTTAATAAATCACTGCTCGGATTAACCCACAGAAGGGTAATGCAAAGTGTATCTGAGATGAGACAGAAACGGGGAGGGAGCTGTTCTGGAGAGGAGGAAGTGCTGGTTTTAGGCTGTGTTCTTTTCTTTTTCAGGGTTTTGTGTCTGGAGCCTGCCTCTGCTGCAGAGGAGCCACCATCCAGCCTGGCTGTGGCATCTCTGCACCAGTCCCTTGGGACAAGCAGGTGTTTGGTTCCTGCACAAATCCCCAGGGAAATTCCAGCCCTGGACCTTCCCTGAGGTCTGGTGCAAAACCAGCCTGGGGACTGAGGCAGCTGTAAAACCTCTGTGCTGGAAAGGGGCATTCCTTTCACTGCATCTCACTGAATGCAGTTCGTGCATTCCTTTCACTGCATCTCACTGAATGCAGTTCGTGCATTCCTTTCACTGCATCTCCGTGCAGTTCGTGCATTCCTTTCACTGCATGTTAGCTGGACATTCTTTGCCTGCTGTTGAGGAGGGGAAGAGACTTTTTGCTCCTCTGCATTTCTGTGGGACAGGTAATTGTCTGTTTTCTCAAGTCAATGACTGGTGCTTGAATTTAAACTTGTTCTGGCGCTGTCTTTGTTTCAGTGGCCAGTTTGCAAGGGTGATTTCTATAAATGGGTGCTGGTAGTGGGTTGCTTGTGTGGAAATCTTCCTTGCTAAGGTGACTCTATTATATTTTGTCAAAATTTAATTTTGCCTAGAGCAGTTATTGTTACCAGAGCTTTCTAATTATTTTAAGTAGCCAAGCTTACATATGCTCGAATCCTCATAGCAGTTTAGCCTAATATATTCATGCAAAAGCATGAAGGAGGTATTGCTTCCATTTGTTCTTTTGTTCTTCCTAATCCCCATTCCTGTCTGCTCTGCCTTGCTGTACTTTTTGTCACCATGAAAAAGCAATGCCTGGGAAAAGCAGCAGTGAAACCCCCTGCCAGAATCGCAGGCAGGAGGACACCCAGTTACATTTCTGTGCCTGGACAAGGGGACCCTGCCATCCTGCAGGCTTTGGGCTCGCTGTGCTGCCTGGGGGCACAGGGACCTCTCAGGTGACCTCTCAGGTGACCTCTCAGGTGACCAGGATGTGCTCCAGGGTTTGGGAGCAGGGCAGGAGGGTGGGAGTTTCTGTCACATGTAGCTGTGCTCTGGGTGCATTATGTGAGGCTCTCCTATCCCAGAGAGACTTTTATTGGGTAACTCGGATATTTACACTTGAATTGTGGTGCACAGCAGTCACATCAGCAGCAGAACCACCGTGTTCTCCTGGTGCTGAACCTGTGATATGGAGGGGAACACATCCCACACCTGCATCAGAACTTACTGCTTAGAGAAAAAGCCTGAGATCCAGTTCCTGGATAAGGCTGTTCAGCCCCTGCTGCTACAAAGGAGGACAGACGATTCCATTTGGGGAAAATAGACTGGTGCTCTGATAACAGAGCACAGAATGCTGAACTAATACTGAGAAGCTTTTGATTTACTCTTATTTTTGCAATGAGGGTTTGTACTAGCATTGCAGGCTGCATGCAGATGAAGGTGGTGTTACCTGTCTCTGGCTTGGTTGCTGGATTGAGGTTTAATGAGATTCTTTGGTTTGCTTTGTGTCAATCTGTTGGAGTTAAGTGCGATTACTTCCTGCTACTTTGTTTTGCCTTTGATGCAATTTTGCAACACTTGTATTCCTAAAAGGGTCTTTTGGTGTCTTTGAAAGTTTCTCAATGCAACATCTCTCTGGACAGAGTAAATGAAGGTTAAAACTAGGCAGATAGCAAGAGAAAACAAGCAAACGTCTTTGCAGAATCAAACAAAGAGCAGCAGCAGAGGAGCTCTGAGATTTGTATTTTTGTCTGCTAAACCAGAACACCTGAGCAAACCTTTTCCTGGAACTCGAGGCTGGCTGGTCTCTCCAGGTGGCAGTCTCTGGTGTCTCTTGTTTTCATAAGATATGCAGAGGCCACAATAAGCGTGGGATGGCAGGACCCTGGGGATTTGGCATGACCAGCTCCACTGCACAGCCCGGCAGTGACCAGCCCTTCTCACCTGGCTTTGTCTGCTAATGAGATCCCGTAGCCTGCTCATTGCCTTGTTGTTTTTCTTCCCAGTCACTGGAATGAACTCTACAGAACCTGTATTATCGGTCTCCATTATGCTCAGGTTTGTTATGATTGTGAATTAATAGATTTTATCTTGGAATTAATGAAGGCACCAGACTTTCTTTTCCCTCTTACTTTTCATAGGGGTTGGTTTTAAATATTCTCTCTATGCAGCTGTTTCTGTTGTTTTTTGGCTCTGCTTGGGTCCAGTCTGATGTAAGCCTCAGCCTTCCTGATACACCCCTTGATTGTGAGTTCAGATCTGTGTGCCTGCAGTGGCACAAGGAGAAGGTTGTGAACAGAGGAGCAACGTGTTCCTGTGAATCAGAGCACTCAGAAAGCTCGTTTTAAAGGTGCAAGTGTCCTCGTAGAAAGTTCTGGGGAACACATAAATATTTAAACAGCTTCTGGAGAGCATCACAGCTCAGTAAATCATCCAAACAATTCTCTTCCACATCTGAATTGAGAAATACAACAGAGTGCTCTTCCAGCTTAAAACCACCTTCCTCCAGGTTTTGATGCTGTTTGCCTTCTCTGTAAAAGTCTTTATAAGCTCTTTTATTGTTGTATAACAAATGGTCAAGCCTGTTTTGAGCCATGAGCAATCCCTGCCACAGCTGGTTCTGTTCATGGAGTTTCTAGATAGGAAAGGTGGTGAGGAGCAGCCGTTCACAGGCAGCTCACAGGGATGCCAGGGCAGGACAGCTGTGCCATGGCACCTGTGCTGTGCCTGTGGCATTCAGAGGATGGATGTGCTTGGGCACATCTGGCTCTGTGTCCAGCTGCTCCACTGCAGCAGAGCAGTGCCCAGCAACTGCCCAGGGCAAGGAATGAACACTCTACACGGGCTGTTGGTGCATGAACCTGGGGACTGGGGATGTGGTGGGGACTGTGTGTGTGTCACATTTACACCTGTGTAACGTTGCTTTCGTTCCCTCGTGGAGACAACAACTGCTCGGCTCGAGTGTCGCCTTGCCCTTGGCTCTACAGGAGCCTTGTCACACACACCTGCCTGCTTTCTGTAACTGATTCTGCTTCTTGTCTCTTCTCTCTGTCATGCACAGATGAAATCCTCTGACATCGACCAGGAGTTGTTCACGGAGAGTTACTGCAAGGTGTGCAGTGCGCAGCTGATCTCGGAGTCGCAGCGCGTGGCGCATTACGAGGTAGGATGGGGTGTGCGAGTGTCAGTGCCCGCTGCTGCCGTCCTGCCCTGCCTCTCACGGCACTGCTGCCTGCCCGCCTTTTCCTTCTGTTTCTGCCAAGTCAGCCTGCAATTTGATCAGGACTGAAGGAAACACAGTTAGCAAGGAGAGCAATTAAGAGTGCAGCAAAACAAGCTCAGGTTGTATTAAATGTGCTGCACTGTGGCTTGCTGAGTAGGAATCACTGATTGTGCAGAGAATAGATTAGAATTTGTGAATGTATTTAAGCACTTAAGAGGTAGTGAGCAATGAATAATTAGAAAGGATGGATTATTAGAGACATGTTAGAACAGCAATTAACAGCACTGCATATCTTCAAAACAAACTTAACTACATTCCTATTAAACGAGGAGGAAATTATGGAGGGATATGATGCTGTAAAATCCTTCAGGGAAGGAAACCCACTGCTTGGGTGTAGATCCTGCCACAGAGAGGGGCTCTTGGTGTTCACCTGGGGGGAGAACAGAGATTCTCAGGTTGAAATGCAAGAGAGGTGCAGGTCACTGTGTGGTGGCTGTGCACGAGGGACTGTCCTCCCCTGGGGGCATGGGAGATGGTCCAGCCTGTCCTGGGGGACTCCAGAAGTGATGCATGTCTGCATTATCTATATCACATAGTTTGTATCTACAGTATAAACTGTATCAACTCTTATATTAATTGTATATAATATAAAGATAATATAGATATTTGGATAATATGGAATAATTTGGTTTGATTTGGTGGTCTTGGAGGTCTTCTCCAACCTAAACAGTTCTGTGATTCTTGTGATGAGCTGGGGGATGAGGGACTTCATTCACAGGAAGTGTGTTTTATTTCTGGTTTTGGTCACATGGAGACTACCAGTGTCTGCAAAGTTCCAGCAGATGCAGAGTTTGTGCACAGGGACCTGGAAGATGAAGTTACCCCAAGCATTTGCTTGACTCGAGTGCTTTGCAGTTGATACACGAGGGAGACAATTGTGAGGCCAGTGGAGAATGTGCAGGAAGCTTAATGTACATGATCTGAGGATGCTGTGCTGCATTAATTATCGATGGGAACAAGGATGTACGTTTGCTTGTAGGGCACTTTACATGTCTGTTTTGGTGAATTTCTTAGGAGCTCTTCTGTAAGTGCTCCTCTGGCTGCCCTCTGTGTGCAGCAGAGATCCCTGGCACCTCTGTGAAGTTGAAGGCTGCAGTTTTAGGGACACCTTCCAGATCTTGGTACTGGGCACCGCAGATGCCAAATTTTGCCTACAGGAGGCAGGAGCATTTCTGCAGAAACAGGAGCAGCGCCTGGTGAGGCACAGGGTGCTCAGCCAGTCTCGTCTCCTCTGCGCCTGTCACTGTAGGTATGAGCTGAATCATTAATTCATAGCAGATGTTTTTGAAATGTGGAAAACAACACTGTTTTCTGTTGTATATTTTAGTGTGAGGTGTTGTGCTCGTTTGTCATCTGCTGTGAAATCCCAGCAGACGCTGTGGATGTTTGGCACAATAATGTCATTCCCAAGCCTTGCTGGTGGGTTGCATAACACAGAGCAGAGGCTTGGAGTGAGTGAGCTGTGAGGACGAGTTAGGATCCCCTCGGGTGGCCCAGAGGCTGGGAGTGCCCCTGGCTGTGCCACACCTTGCTGCTCTCCACAGGGAGCACTGTCCCTTTGGGTTTTCTGGTCACCACTCCTGAGTGTGGTGCTCATCCTCCTGGTAACCTTCTGGCACCCTGGTCCCAAGAGGTGAGAGGGTGAAAACCTGCCCTGAGGTTTTCTAAGGAGGTGGAGATGGGGGCTCCATCCTTCCTGAGGCTGCCAGCCCTTGCTGCAGGCCATTAGTTACTAGCAGGAGTGTAAAATTCACTGCTTCTTTCTAATTCTCAAAGTATCTGGTCACAATTTTCACACCTTTCTTTTTTTTTTTTTCTTTACATTTAGAAAGTGCTGTGTTGTTAAAAACTGATTATTTTCATAGGGGAAAAATCAACTTCAGAAGACTAAATGCTCTGCAGATCCATTTTCAGGAGCCCTGGGGGTGGCCACCCCGCTGCCCATGGGTGCTGGGGACCCTTGGTGCTGCTGCAGCCGGGGGTGCTGAGTGCCAGGGCTCTGTCTGAGACGGGTTTGTCTTGGTCAGCAGCGCCCTTATCCTTCCTGAGCCAGCCTGGAGAGAGAGGGGATTGATCACTGCCTCGCTAGCGCAGTCAAGTGAGCTCTGCAGCCCTTGTGCCAGGGACTGGAATCTTGGCTCTCTGTGCATGCAAAATAAGACATTTCTCTGTAAGAAAATAGAGGGAAACAGCCTATGAAAGGGGGACGTTTTTATCTTGCCAAACAGGAATAGTCAGTTCCAATCGCTGTCTCATCTCCTTCTCCAAATCACCAACCAATAACTTTTCTTCTGTGCTACTTTGCCAGGAATAAAAAATGATTTTATGTCAGTCACGCAGTATTAAGCGATATTATTTCCAAGGGCGAGCGTAGTGGAAAAATGACAAAAGGATCAGAGTGTTTGCAGCAGTTTTTGCTTCCAAGTTGACGTACAGCACTGCTGCCTTTATTGCATGTGCTCCATGCAGCGGTGTTCCTGGTTTTGTTTGTCTGGCGTGTCTGATGCACCCTGGCTCTCCTTGCCATCCTGCTGAAGCTGCCAGGTCCTGCCCTCTGGAGGGGTCACCCCAGGACAGAGCTGAGCCCAGGAGCTGCCTTGGGATCGCCTGGCAGTGAGTTCCCAGAGGAGGAAATGCCCTAACGAGCTCGGTGCACACTGCACTGCTCCAGGGGCTGATGCTGGGCAGCTTCTGAGCTCACGAGGAAGAGACAAGGCAAACCTTACTGCTTGGTGCTGATGCCCAGAAGGGTGTGCATTTGCATATTTTAATTCTTAAAGCAAATTGATATCTTAATTTGTCCCCTGAAGTATCAGAAAACTCGCTTCTGCTTCTGGACTAAAGCAGCGAAGTGTGGATGCCTGAGACAATGCCTGGGTGTCACTCAGTGTGCTGCTGTGCCATGCCGAGTGCCCCTGAGGTACCTGGCTCCCCTGTCCTCCCTGGGGGGAGCAGAAGGGAGCAGGGTGGCTGTTGGGGTGAAGAATCCCTCGCTGCAGGTGATGGCCAGTGTGGGGAGGGTGTTTCACACCTCGTGTGCCCCTCTTGGTTTCGAGGGGTGACAATGTGCTGCACTTGCTGCAATGCCATTGAAAGTCTGTGCCCCAGAAATGAATTTTTTGTTTTCTGTATCTCTGCATCTTTCCTTCCTCTGGAGCTGGAAGCCTCTTTGGTGCTGAATTCTCTCTGGATTACCTGTAATTTAACACTTCCTTCCAGCTCTGTCTTTGAGAGAGGTTGTATTAATCACTTTGGTGAGCTGCTCAGTAAATTAAAAAGCTAAAACAAAGAGAGCTAAGGTTTCTTAGTTAGCTCTGAGTCCGCATCTCTATGTAGAAGTGTTCACAGCCATTAGGAAGATGTTAACATTTATTTTCATGTTTCCCCTTGAAAATCCTGCAGGAAAATTACCTCATATGCAAAGTTGCTCTCAGATTTCACCCTGAGCTGCACATTCATCACCACATTTGCTCCTCAAGCTGCTGTAATGCTCTTCTCCATTTTCTCCATAATCTTTATTGCTTCAGGTGTTCAGAGAGTGCCTTGTTTTTCCGTTTAAAATGCAGGAAGATGCCAGGTCTGGAGGAAGGGCAGCAGGAGGGGCCGGCTCACCTTATGGGAGGAGGGAATGCTGCTTGAACGCAGGGGAGGGCGAAAAATTCAAATGCGGAAGAAACTGGGGAGAACAAATCAAGTGCCATGCCCTTTGGCTCCTCTCTGGAGCTGGGCTCTGTGGAATTCCTGCCTTTGTCTCGGCAGCAGAGCAGGCAGAGCTGTCCACAGCCTCGTCAATACTGCGTGTCTGCAGGGGCTGCACTGGTGCTGGGGTTAATCTGCTCCACTGGGGCTGTCCTTGGCTGCAAACGGCGTGAAGTGATGGCTTGTCTGAAGGAATAATAAACATTGTTTACTATTGGCACATTAGTGCCTTAAGGATCAAGATGTGTGTGCTCAGAACGGCAATCCTGTGTCTGAAATATTAATGTGCTGCAAGAGCACATACTCTATTTAACAAAATAAATGCTGTGCTAGAAAGCAAGGAGCTGGAATGTTGTGTTTGTACTCCCAGTTCCCTGTGTGAGATGCTGCTAGCATTTCCAGGATGGAGGAGTGGAAGGGATGTGCTCTAGCTGTAAATAAAGGCTGCACAGGCTTCTGCTGGTGGCAGTGATCATGGAAGGGAACGTGACATTTGCTGGCCGTGATCTCCCTCGTGTCTTCTGCCACTGTTGCTGCTCACCTGCCATGCTGTGTTTTGCTTTGGTGGCAGTGACATGTAAATCTTTCAGAGGATGAAGGAGGAGGGGACACCCCACCCGTCCTGTCCATGTCCTTCCACTGCTGGAACCTGCTCTGCTGTGGTGTTCACAGTTTTTGTGGCTGCTCAGACATTACTGTTATCCTGCTGGTGTTTGACAGGAGAGCCTTGGCTTGAGGAGAAAAAGCTGAAGAGAGCATATTTGTGTTGCAGAGATGATGAGGGTGCTGCTCTGTTCCTTCTGTGAGCACATGCAGGCCTGCTGTGGATATTCCTTGGCAGTTTGTGTCGTGGTAACGGCCCCAGGTAAAATAGGTTCAGGTAAACCCCGTGGCATGGGAGGGAGATTGGTGGGTGCCAGGGTTTTAGGGCACAGGGCTCGTGTTTCCTCTCTGCTCTCAGGGCAGCAGCAGCTGCTGCATCACACTGAGCTGTGGGAGCCAGTGGAGATGGGATGGGACTTTACAAGGCTCTGTGTTAGTGCTCTTTGTCAGCATTAATGGCCGAACATTATTTTTAATGCACTCCCAGTGTCAAAATCTATTGCTAAACAGCACCAACAGCAGAGCAGATGAAGCCCCGTGCACAGCTCCCTTCCCAGGTTCTTGTGCACAGAGGCCCA